ACAAATCACTAGATACCAGTCAATCTAAAGATATGTTGTTACTTTCCAGCTCTCCTTTATACAATGCAGAAACCTAGTCATTTAGCTAATATTTAACTGGACACTTGGAGTCTCCTTCGTCCTTAGCCCAACTTCCCTTTCTAGAAAATTTAGAAAGCCTTTATCAAATCTACAGTTTCATAAAGACCTGTTGTAACAGTTGTCAAAGAATCTCTTTCTATTCCAAAGATCAGCTTGAAGTCTCATTATCACAAAGAGGACAATCTTTGTTCCCGTTCAGTTTTAAAAGATTGAGGGTCAATAGTTGACAAACAGAATTCATGTGAGAAGCAGAACGATTTTTCAACTGGGGCAAAATTAAAGGGGCACCAAACCCAGTTCTCTGGAGAAGTGCTGTTCAGCAGAACTATAACGTGAGCCACATAAGTAATTTTACATCTTCTGGTAGCCTCATGAAAAAGAGGAAAAAGAAATAGGTGAGATTAATATAAAAAACATTTTATTGAACCTGATATATTCAAAATGTTATCATTTGAAAGTGTTATCAATACTAAACACTATTAATTAGATATTTTACTTTTTTTGTATTAAGTCTTCAGATGCCATATATATTTTACACTTAGAGCTCATCTTTCTCAGTCTAGCCACATTTCAAGTGCTTAAACCCGGTGCAAGGGCTTTACTTAAAAACGTTAAATGTTAAGAAGTTCAGAATAGAATTAGAATACATTTCTAAGCGTCTGTATCACATTTCTCAGTTAATGCTGGTGCATGGGGTTGTAAATAGCTTTAGCTCTACTTTTTGAGTGGAGCTCAAATCATTGCTAGCTGTGTTAGGCAGGCAGGTGTGGTGACAACGCAGGTCTTGCCTCAAACAGCCTTGGGTTAGACAGACCCCTGACAGCATTACCACATGACCTTGGGAACTTTATTTAGCCTCTCCAAGCCTCAGGTTTGTACTATGGTAAAATGAGAATAATAATATCTAATAAGAACAATATCTACCTCAAAGTTGTGAAAATTAAGAGATAATCCATATAAAGTACTTAACACAGCACTGACTCTGATGTGAAAACAAGCATTTGATACACACTATTATTATGTTATTATTATCCAGCTGAGTGAAAACCATCTTCTCTGATGCCTGTTAGACATCTTAGTGGAGGTATTCAGCAGGCAGGTAAGCACAGGAGAAAAAAATCAGGAGCAGAGTAACCCCCAAAGAAGATGCAGTCTAGGCCTTTTTGTGCTCAAGGAGCCAATGCAAGACACCACATTGCCTTTAGGACAGTTAATAGTTGATGGCCAGATCCTAGTTCCTCTGTGGAGATTGCACAGGACAGTTAACAGTTGAAGGACAAATCTTAATTCCTCTATGGAGATTGCACAGGACAGTTAATAGTTGATGGTCAGATCCTAATTCGTCTATGGAGATTGCACAGGACAGTTAATGTTTGATGGACAAGCTGGGAGATGACATAAGTTTATGTGTTTGAGTCTGTGTTTTGGATATAAATGTATAGAAGTTAAGAATTAGAGGGAATAAGATGTTTTTACCTATACTTATGAACAGGCTGACATGAATCAAGGGACAGTGGAATTTGACAACCAGACCTGGAAATGTCTTCTTCTTTGCATTAGGCTCAAGTTAGAGTTGGCTGGGTGTGGCCATCCGAAGCTTTGAAAAGCTTTCTTTATAAGGACGCATGTGCCAGAATAGCATTCTACATCCCTTTTCTCAGGATTAAATTAGCTGGAATGGCATCTGGAACTAAGTTTATAATAGATAATCAATTTCCTTTATAATGAAACACACAAGAGATGACAATAAATTTTACATTTCACATTAAAATGTTGATTGTCCTCTGCTGGACTGCCCTGCCTCCTAGCTTCATGCCTTGCTGAAGGTCTCAACTGTAACACTTTCTCAGAGAGACTCGTCCTGGCCACCCTATGTCCTTCATGGGGACCCTATTCTTTCCCTTCATGGCTGTGGCAGATGCTGCTAACTACCGCCTTCCTTATTGACTGACCCCCCAGGTTTGTTCAGGGCAGTGAGGAGCTCAGCTAAAATGCAACATTTGCCAACCTTCCACGGGGCAGAGGCAGCTTTGTGACACGGTCTTGCCCCAGGAGCACAGGCAGAGGCTGCTGAGGATTCCTGGGAAAGGGTTGCTTTCTCCACGTTGATTGCCACTGCTTCCTCCACGTTGCTTTCTACTTCTTTACAGAATGCAGATGCCAGGCATGGAGGCACGATAGCCCCTTATGAACAAAAGACACAGGCTAATGATGGTGGAGCAGGAAGAGGGAAGGGGGCAAGAGCCTGTGTCCAGTGACATCTCTCTGGTTTAACCTGAGATTACCTACCTAATGTTACATGGCGAGGAAAAAGAGCCTCATTTGTTTAAGCCACGGTCTTTAGAAGTTTCTATTATTTGCAGCCAAACAAAATCCAAACTAATACATTTTTTCCTCCATTTTAAGCGTATGTTTATTTATGCAATGTCTGTCTTCTTCACTAGACTGTGAGCTTTGTCAAGAAAGGGACTATCATTTTTTGTCCACCACTGTGCACCCAGCACCTTGTACAATGGCTGGCACATAGATTTTTCAGGGAAAATTTTGGAAAGAATGGATGATATGCAGCATGTGGAGTGAAACATTTATTACAACAAAACATCACTAACAGAAAAGTAAGAGAAACAGTAAAAGGCAGCAACATAGAGGCCTCAGCTATAGTGAGAATAAAAGCTGAGGTTGAGGGAGAGACAGCAATGAGCACGACTGATATAGAGAAGGAAGCAAAAGCCTGAGTTCTTTCCAGCTTCTCTCTCTATACACTGCTCTTCTCATCACCTCAGTACAATGGACAACCTGTGGAGTTTCCTACTCACGATTACCACAGACGGTGTTTGTAAAATCACTAATCGCCATTCGTAAATTTATGCACACATTCCAAGAAACCTTTCCACCTGTTTTCTATCTTTGCTGAAAATAATAGAGTGTCTTGGACTGGTAGTCGGTTGGTTACCAAGGCAACAAGGATGTATGTACTGCCCTGAGCAATGCAGCAGAGCAACCTCTGTCCCTGGATTCTGACATAATTACTGCTACCTGGGCCCAAACAAACCAGTTGTACCATTTCTCCTAGTAATGAGACAAGAAAGGCCCCCATAGGTCTTCACAGAGGGAATATAACACAACCATAGTTATGCAGCCAGGGGTACGTCTCCTGTAATGGACTCTTGGCTCTCTCTAAGGAAAGATACAACCACACAGAGTGTAGCTACCTCCTCTTACACAGGGGTTAGGTATGAATGTCAGGTCTGTGATACAGACCGCTGTTTATAACCCAATATATGATTTCTCCCTCTTTTGTTAGTAGCCGAGCCTCTATTTTAGAAAGGAGTGCAATGTGCCCTGTGAAGAAGCTACACTTTCTATCCCCCCTCTACACAGAAGTAATCAATACATCTAGATGGTCTGGGACTCATGAGCTTATGGAGGAGCACATAGCTGGCTTGGGTCCTTGTCTGCCCTCACCCTCCTTTCCTCTTGTTTCTGCCTGGACTATGGATTTGATGTCGGAAAGATAGCAGCCAGTTGGACGACTAGAACTTCAGGAACCATTTGAACAAGAGATAACTTGAAGAAGGGAAGCCACATATTAAGGAAGATGGACCTAAAACATCGAACAAGCCTAGGCCCATAACGAGTCCATGGAGCTTCTAGTTGCAACCCTGGACTCTTGAACTCTTTAATGTGGGGGGGAAATAAGTCTGTTACTAGCTGTGGAAAGCACATTCCTTACTGACACAAAGTGTAGAATGAAAATCTCAAAATGCCAAAATTACCTTAGAAAATCCTTTAAATCCCCTGTAAAACACAGTAGTGTGGCATAAGTCCTGATTGGGTTAAGGCACGTGGAGACGTTGAGCCTTTAATTCTGGGGGCCAGTCAAGAAAACAGACTAAATTAAGCTCTATCCTTGCATTGTTTTAAATTAGTATTTGCCCTTCAGATATTATCTCCATTGCTTTCAGAGACTGTAATTTGGAAATTAAAAATCATATGTGGTCTGAAAAAGAAAAACGTTGGGAAGCAAGGGTATTATATAATCCTGATAGCTGACAGCAACATATATGTATATGTGCATATATGGAATTACTACATATGATTTCATCTTCACTTTTCACAGGCAATTTTGTGACTTTAACTGTATTACTTAACGTTTCTTTATGACTTTTAATGAACACTTCAACTTTTTTTCGAGGCTGTTGATCAAGTCATCAGCATGGACATCCTGACTACTAGAACAGGATGATTGGGATGTCTTTTTTTTTTTGCTTGAGGAAGATTCACCCTGAGCTAACATCTGTGCTGATCTTCCTCTACTTTGTATGTGGGCCACTGCCACAGCATGGCTGCCAATGAGTGGTGTAGATCCGCACCTGGGAACCAAACCCCAGCCGCTGAAGTGGAGCGCACCAAACTTAACCGCTAGGCCACAGAGCTGGCCCCCTGGGATATCTTTAAAATCATTCTCACTTTATCCCCATAGGTTTTGGATGAGCTAAGTTTGATTACATCTGCATGGTATGTGTTCTTTAAGCAGAATCATGGGGAGAATTATCAATACGATTGAAATTATTCTTTCTTTTCTCTTTCTTCTCTCTCTTGCATTTAATTCAACTCTATTATACATCCAAAGTGAGAAAGGCCACTGCTGCCACGTGGTTTTCTCAAGCTGTAGAGCTCCGAGAAGAATGGCAGGTGGGGACGTTCTGGAACTCTGATTTCCCTAAGGAATGTTACCATGTTGCTAAGCTATGCAGCGTATCTTAAGAACCAGGAAGCCGCCACAGGCTCCTTGGAGTGAGAGTGGGAGAAACTGGAGGGAGACAGCTATCTTCTTTTGGAAGCATTAGACTTTAGGCTGTCTTTGCCAATTAAAAACTCCCAGCTCAAGGGCAGAGATTTAAGGAAATCTCTGAGGCTTGGAGGGTATCAACAGCCTTGAGTTCCTGTCAACCAGATCACCTTCTTTTAAAACTGTCCTCAGGTATAACTTTAAATTTATCATTAAAATAATTTTCAGAATTTTAGTATAATTTAGTTAATGGACCTCAAGTTCATCTTCTTTTCAAGACTTATATAAAGCCAAATAAGTCTGTTTTGAGGAAATCAGGTGTTATGTTTTAAAGTAAACCACCTATTTTTGAGGAGATCATACAAATGAAATATGCTGAGTTTGTGGGATAAAGACATTTATTCTGCGGAAAACATTTAACTTCATTTAATAAATATTTATTGAGCATATACTATGTGACAGGTACTAGGAGTACAGAGGTGGAAAATTGGACTAGATCACTGTCTGCTTGATTATTACATCCTATTGAGAGAAGCAGAAAATAAGCACAGAACTGTAAAAAATAATGTCAGGCAGTGACACACTCTATGAAGACAGCTTAAGGAGGTTGAGGATAGAGAGTGATGGAGGCTGGGATGATGGTGGGAACTACTTTAGAGAAGGGTAAGGAAGCCTTTTGGAGAAAGTCTTGTTTAGAAGAGCAATGAATGAAGTGAGTCAGGAAGCCAGGGGAAGATCTGAGTGGCAAGCATTCCAGGCTAGGGGATCTGCAAATGCAAAATGATTCAGCATTCATCACCTAAGTCATAATCTTTACACCCCCAGGAGTTCATAGGAACTCTCAGCTGTTCATTGATCAGATATTGTATTCTCCTTTTGTAAGCATATATTTTTACATATGTGCTATTTGGGACTAAAAATATTAATATTTATTACAAATTTGCATGGTATTTTCTAAGTAACAATGGCCAGAGTTAGGACTAGATGGATGGTTTTTTTTTTTTTTTTTGGTGAGCAAGATTCTCCCTGAGCTAACATCTGTACCAATCTTCCTCTATTTTGTATGTGCGTTGCTGCCACAGCACAGCTGACTAGTGGTGTAGGTCCGTGCCTGGGATCTGAACCTGCGAACCCCGGCCAATGAAACGGAGCACGCCAAGCTTAATTACTACGCCACGGGGCTGGCCCCAAATAATGCTTTTAAAACCACTTATTTTGAGGGTATTGTGTCATGTAGTCTAAATAAAATTCAATAGTTTACTAATATATAGGTAGATTCAAGACACTATAGGAAAGGAAATATTGCTACCAGAAGTGCCTACACAGTTCCCTAAATGGTGAATGGTCAATTTAATTAGATTTTCCCACAGTTACCTCTATACAAGTTTTTCTTTTCCTCTTCAGAGTGAAAGCAGAGTGTTAGCATTGCAATTAAAATAGAATTATAAATGGAACTGGCTATTACTCAGCAACTCTTTGGAGCATCTCCTCTAAGTCAAGAGCTCTCAGCCTAGGTTTTGCAACACAAAGGCAGTGAAGTGAGACCCCAGGTATTTACTAACAGCAGCTAAAATGTTCATGTTTGCAAATTGTTTAGTTTTTAAAAGGAATTAATACAAAAAAGGGTAAGTCCTCTAACACTGTCTCTGGCATTTAGTTCTTTACCTGATTGGAAAGACTGGAGTTAGAACCTGTTTATACAGCTCTTCTGAGCAACAGTTACTGACACACCATAGTTGTGATGATTGAAATATTTTTTAGTGTTTTGCTTCCCCACAATTTTGGGATACATTCTTTAAAATCTGACCAGATGGTGGGAATGTCTTTCATGTGAACATCACCTGTCATGTGTATCACAGTGGGAAAAAAGGCTGAGAACTGCTGCTCTCTACTATATAGCAAATACCTATTATGCTAAAATACTGGAAACAAGTGTGTGTTTTTTTGTTTTCCATGTGTTGTTTTTCTGTTTTTGGGTTTTTAAAAATACACCTATTATTTTTCACAAAACTGTATTTGGGCCATAGTAAATAATCCACAGCACATTTGTAGAAGTAACTGTAACTAAGTTAGTCTATAGAATCCATCCATGATATACATTGACCAGTTTTGCATTGATGTGTTCCTCTAATGCTGGCTTAGGAAAATTTTTAGTCACTTCATTACAAAATAATTGTGATTTCTGATTCTCCAATAAAGATAATATTTATCTATCAACAAGTAAATTATTTATTTCCTGGTCTCCACCTTTATTAATTCCTTATTTAAATAATATGTTCTTTTCATATTTCTCTTATCTTTTGGGGGAAAAAAATCTACCCTTTTGTATGAGAATGAACGATTCATTCATTTATTCTGAGCTTATAAGTCTTAAAAAGTTACAGTCGAGGGGCTGGCCCAGTGGCGTAGTGGTTAAGTTCACACATTGCATTTTGGCAGCCCTGGATTTGCCATTCAGATCCTGGGTGCAGACCTACTCACTGCTCATCAGGCCATGCTGAGGTGGCATCCCACATAGAAGAGCTAGAGGGACCTACAACTAGGATATACAATTATGTGGCTTTGGGGAGAAAAAAGAAAAAGAGGAAGATTGGCAACAGATGTTAGCTCAGGGCCAGTCTTCCTCAAAAAAAAAAAAAAAAGCGTTTCTTTCTACAAAAAAAAAAAAAGCTACGGTCCAAAATCAATGCTTATTATAAACAGAAATCCTAACAGAGAAACATTATTCCAAACCAATTCATGGACTTTGGAAACATATCCATTAAAATCACTGGGCAATGAACTATCAGTCAATTACAGAGTGCTGAGATCAATACAGGCAACGGGTGAAGACACGGGTGTGGCCATTACTGATAGTAACCAAATTGTTCTTTTTCTTTAGCTTGAGGTAGTTTTTTTCTTTTAATTAATAGACTTTGTTTTTTAGAGTAGTTTTTAAGCTTACAGAAAAATTGAGCAGAAAGTACAGGGAGTTCCATATACCCGCCTGCCGAGTTTCACCTATTATCATCATCTTGCATTAGTGTGGTACATTTGTTACAACTGATGAACCTATATTGTGCATTATTAACCAAAGTCCACGGTTTACATTAGAGTTTACTCTGTGTTGTACAGTTCTGTGGGTTCTGACAAATGCACAGTGTCATGTGTCCACTAGTATAGTATAGGTTAGTTTCACCACCCTAAAAACCCCGTGTTGCACCTATTCATTACTACCCCACTTGCCCTCTGGAACTCCTGTTAACCACTGATCTTTTTATTGTCTCCACGGTTTTGCTTTTCCCAGAATGTCATATAGTTGGAATCATACAGTATGCAGACTTTTCAAACTGACTTCTTTCACTTAACAAGATGCATTTAAGGTTCCGCTGTGTCTGTTCATGGCTTGATATCTCATTTCCTTTTAGCGCCTTATAGTATTCCATTGTGTGGATGTAGCACAGTTTATTTATCCGTTCACCTATTGCAGGACACCATGGGTGCTTCCAATATTTATAAATTATGAATAAACATTCATGTGTAGGTTTCTGTGTGGACATAAGTTTTCAACTCCTTTGGGTAAACACCTAGGAATGTAATTGCTGGATCGTATGGTAAGACTATGTTTAGCTTTGTAAGAAACTGCCCAACTGTCTTCCAAGGTGGCTGTACCAATTTGCATTCCACCAACAATGAATGAGAGTTCCAGTTGCTCCACATTCTTGTCAGCATTTGGTCTTGTCAGTGTTTTGGATTTTAGCCATTCTAATAGATGTATTAGCACTATCTCATTGTTGTTTTAATTTGCAATCCCTAATGACAAATTGATGTTGAGTGTCTTTTCATATGCATGCTTTGCCATCTGATAATATTCTTTAATGAGGTGTTTGTTCAGATCTTTTGTCCAGTTTTTAATTGGGCTATTTGTTTTCTTACTGTTGAGTTTTAAGTGTTCTTTGTATATGTTGGATACAGGCCTTTATCAGATATGTGTTTTGCAAACATTTTCTCCCATGTTGGCTTGTCTTTCCATTCTTTAACAGCGTCTTTCACAGAGCGAAACATAGTTTTGCTTTTCTTCAGGTGTGAGGTAGTTTTATTCTTCCATCATTAGATCACTTGCTAGAACCATTCAAAGTACAACTTTGTCTCAAGTTATTCACTTACTTCATAAGTTTAAATCAGACTTTCAATAGTACATAATGTATATTTTGGATTCTGTAGAATGTTTAATGATATATAGGGATAAAATATTTATGTTTTGCCTTTGTTCCTTTAACAATATTTTGAACCTTCAAATGGAAACAATAAAAGCCACAACATCAGATTATTAAACTTTCTGTAACCCAAGAGAAAGCACCACAGCACCTTTTTAAATATAATAGCAAGATGAATTTCAGACTTCCAGGAGGCACTGCAATTTTCATAAGAGGAGGAGGAAGAATTCTCTGCATAGTTTGCTTGTTAACCTTTTATAGCAGAATTTAAAGTATACACTACCCTTCAAATTTACCTAAGAGAATGGACCTTGGGAGGACACACATAGTAGAATAGCTAAATATTCCAGCTAACATCTAAGTCAATCCCATCAGGTTTCAGATGAGCAAATCAAAATCTAGGAAAGAAAGCAATTTATCTATGACCACTTTGCTCATTAATGGCAAAGCTGGGACCATAAATCCCATTTTTTAATTCCAGTTCAGTGTCTTTTCTACTCTCCAATTTACCTACTGTACCCTTTTCCCTCAACACAGATAAAAAATGAATTTACTGACTTCCTTGTACAAAAGGTACATAGAAAGAAGAATGCAAGTCTAGAAAGAAGAATGAATAAGTCTAAGGTTTGAGTTACACTAAGAGGTTGGAACTAACTCCTCATTATTCATACGGAGCAATAAGAAAACATACTTTTCATTGTTAGATAATAGTATTTTCTGAATACAAAATATTTGAATATATTTTATTCAGCCTAGAATAATTTTAGAATTTATGAAAATCAGGTGTTTTGTGGCAACAGGGCTGGTAATTTATATACCATACACTCTGAATATATACCATGAAAAATTTGAACACAGATTCTCTGGTCTAAAAAGATAGTCAATAAACTAAAAATATCCGCCCCAACAAAATCTTGAGATCAATTTCTAGAATGTGTACATATTTTGACACTGCAAATTACTCTGACCAGAAAACCTCCCTGCCATGATTAGAAATAAAATGTCTATTTCCCAATAATGTTATAATGAATAAGATTTCTAAGATAGAAAATATACAACAAACACCAGAAAAAACATCCTTCTTACATTTCAAGGCTAGTATACCATCTTCAAGAAAGTTTAATTAACTCTTTCCTATGTTCCTAACCCAGAAATTTTCTTCCCCACATGATTGTGAATTCCCTAAGAGCAGTAACATTATCTTTTATCCCTTAGGCGTATTCACTGTAGGTGTTTAATACATGATTGCTGAGTGATTGAGGGAAAATCATTAAATATTACTGAATATTGCAAATAACAACATGCCAAAGGTTCTCCAGTTTATCATCTGTAGACGTAATATAGTTCTTTTGCTATTGGACTTTTTTTCTCCTTCAGGTTTTACCATCCTCTCTGAAGATGATACAAACTTCAGATGCTGGTTTTCTTAAAATGCAATGTGAAAGGTCCTCATTTAAAGTTAATTTAAGGTAAAGCACGTTTGTGGTACTGTATTTTAAAGCTATGCTTTTAATTTACTATATCAAAATTGATGATAACCATGCTATGTATTTTTATGTTGGTAAGCCAACAAAGTGACCTTAGATGTAATGAAATACAGAATATATTTTAAGTTTCTCACAAATGTTTTGATTTTTCTAGCGAAAAATTTTTCTGTTCTACCCATGCCTGTAATGATTTCAACATTTACAAAAATTTGGTCTGAAAGCAAAATAGCCTCACATTGCTTTGACAGGAGAGACAATTCAGTGCAAACAATCGAGATGGAGAAACGTTTACTGTGCAAGAAAATGCCAAGAACCCCTTGTCAGAACGCTTGTCATTCTGTGATTTCAGGGTCTGAGCGCCTCTGGAAGTGAAGTTAACAAGGCAGACCCCAAGACCTTTCATGGCAACAGCAGAGAGGGGAAACCAACACTCCGTGAACATGAGCCTCAGACCCCCGACGTCTGCTCTTCAGTTTGAGAGCAAAGGCAGCCATTTTATGGCCGGAAATGGAAGTTGTTTTCTAGTCAGGCACACCCCTCATCCCAGACGGGTCCGCCACATCAAAGGTAAGGTGACTCGATGTCCTAGAATGTCTCTCTCTTCTCTACCTTTGGGCTGCTTGATGACTCTGGTGGGTAAACACAGGGATACTATTCAAAATATTAACCACCGGTGAGGCACAGGCGTTGACTATTGGGACCAGTGCCAGCACTGGAGCCAGAGCAGAGGCCTGCAGGCACTGTCTGAGCTAGGCATTAACCCGTGGATTGCCGGATTGTTAGGAAAGGGTCTGGAAAGGTGCCAAAGGGGCCACTCAGGGAGCTCGGGCAGCAACTGACCAATTGGTATGAAAGTATTTCAATATTTTAACAACCTGCACAGGCATGCTAGCATCTAGTGCCAAATATCAGCCCTGGAGAAGCATATATTTTCCCTCCCTCCCTCTCTCCCTTTCTCTCTTTCTCCTTTCTTTCTCCTCTTTCTTCTCTCCCTCCCTCTCTCTCCCTTTCTCTCTTTCTCCTCTCTTTCTCCTCTTTCTTCTCTCCCTCCTTCTCTCCCTTTCTTCCATCTTTCCTTCCTTCCTCCTTGTCTCCCTCTTTCCATCTTTCCCTCTCTCTTTCCCTCTCTTTTTCTTTGTTTCACATTTTTAGTTTTTATAACGCCATATACTCCTCATTATTTTTTCCTTCTCTCTGAGGCTTCTCCTTCCCAGCTTTTTTCTTTTTTTTTTTTTTTGCTGATTCTGCAGTAAATCTTGGAGTCCCTCACAGCTCACTCCTTGACCATACTCTCTGTAATTATACTGTGACCCTAGTCAAATTTACTCATTTACAAGTTTCAAAAATACCATCTATAGGCCAAATGCTTTCAAATGTATATCTCAGACTCAGGTTCCTTTTCTAAAGTTTAGAGCCGTATATTCAACTGCCTGCTTGACCTATACATGAAGCCCTGAGGCTTCATGGGCACCTTGAATTTTGCTCTTTGGAACTGAACTCTTGATCTTCCCTCAAAAGTGTGGATCCCCACCTAGTCTACCCCAACTAGTGAAGGGTACTATACGTTTGGGGCCCTTTTTCAACTCCTCTCTCTCCTTACCTTCCCTTGCAATACTTCACTTGATCTTGTCACTTTTTCTTCTAAATATTTTATAAATGAAGCCACTTCTCTCCACGGCCACTGTTACAGCTCTGTTCCAGACCACTCTTACCTCTTGCTCTGACTATTACTCTTATAATCTGTAGCCTCCTAACTGCTCTACTTCCACCCTCGCCCTCATCTAATCTATTCTCCATAGAAGAACCAGAAAGATCATACTGAAACGTAAATTTCACTTTTAAACATCCTACTCAAAGTCCTTCCGAGGCTTCCATGCCCCTAGGATTATGTTGTGTATCTTGATATAGGCTAAAATGTTCCCTATGACATGGCCTCTGCCTCTTACGCCTCATCTCATGTCAATACCCTCCCCCCATTACACATATGCCATACTGGACTTGTCTAAGTTCCTTGAACATGTAACAAGCCCTTCCCACCTTTCACTCATACTGCTCCATCTAGCTATAAAACTTTTCCCCCCATTATTTGCTATTTCTCATTTTTCAGGTATTGGTTTAAATGTCACTTAAAAGAGACATTTCAGGCTCCACATCCTCAATCTAAATTAGATTTCCTTATGAGATATTCTCATAGTACCCTACATTTTGTTTCAGAGCAGTTGTCTTAGATCAGGTTCTCTGGAAATACACTCTGGGATGGAGATTTGTGTGAAGGTTTATTGGGGACTGCTCTTGGGAACAACCTGTATAAAGAGGCCAGGGAAGCAGGATTGGGCAGAAGTTGATTTGTGATGCAGATACAATAGAGGTCTCAGTCAGTCCCACAAGGAGCAGTAGATGGCTCTGGAAAGGTGTCTCAACTGAGGCAAGTATGTCAGGCCCTTGTAACCCCCATCAACCACTCATTGGTTGAGCTCCCATTGTGCGTGAGAGCTCCTTTCAGCTGAGAGCAATTCCCAGAGGAGGACTCAGCATGAGCCATCAGTAGCTGACACCTCAGCAAGTAGGGAGATGAATGCCTCAGTCCTGAAGGCATGATCCAGGTAGGTGGAAGGTGCACCACAGCACCCACTACAGCAACTATTGCAGCTTATGACTAAATATTTACTTTTATTTGATTAGTATCAAATATCTTCCACTAAACTGTGAGCTCCTTGAAAGTAGGAGGTATGTCTGTTTTGCTCACCTCTTATTTCCATTTCCCAAGGAGTGGCTGCCACATGGGAGGTGCTAGATAAATTCTTGTGGAAGGAAAGATGTTTAAATTACATCCAGATAAAATCATGGAGCCACTAATAGGTTTTAAATAGAATTTATATTCTACCTACCTAAGCTATCTAGTAGTTGTGTGTCCTTGAACAAGTGATTTCATTAAAAAAAAAATTCTAGAGGCCCGCCCAGTGATGTAGTGGTTAAGTTAATGGTTAAGGAAATGGCCAAGCACACTCTGCTTTGGCAGCCCGGGGTTCGTGGGTTTGGATCCCAGGCACGGACTTACATACTGCTTATCAAGCCATGCCACGGTGGCATCCCACATACAAAATAGAGGAAGACTGGCACAGATGTTAGTTCAGGGCGAATCTTCCTCAAGCAAAAAGAGGAAGATTGGCAACAGATGTTAGCTCAGGGCCAATCTTCCTCACCAAAAAAACAAAATAATAATAATCCTAGCTGTATTATAAAAAGTGGAAGAGGCCTCACTAGAGGTTGGGAGATCAGATAAAAGACTGTCATTCAGATGAGAAGGCATGAGGGATGGGCAGAGAGAAGAGCAGAGAACTGAAGATTGAACTTTGGCAAGAGGTAAGTCCAGATGAGCAGCACAGAGAGAACCAGCTGCAGGTTATGCGATAAACAAGATTCCAGGAGAATCGCTGGGTGATCATCAAAGACAAATTCCTAAAGGAAATTAGGAAAATGAAAGCCAAGGGAAAGCAAACAGATATTACAATAAAGAAGTCATAGATGGCCTTGGACTCTATTGTCTTGGCAAAATCTGAGGACAGGGTATTTTGTAAACCACATAAGAAAAACATTGCATTTAACTAGAACTTTTTTTCCTATGAAGGCAAATACTACTAAATGGAGTATAATTTTTTTCTGACTTCAAATATTGGAAAGTACTTGATGTATACCTCTTCCATATTTTATTTCACATTCTGCCTTGAATTACCTTATAGTATAAAACTGTTGGCAGGCAAGGGGCTGAATTTTATGTCTTCAAATTCCTTACAATGCCTACCACAAAGCCTTGCTCATAGTAATATATGTTGACAAAGAGATCTTTGTTCAACTGAGTAGAAAATTGTCTTTGGAAATCTTTCAAGGATATCCACACTAATTCTAGAAAGCTTAGTAAATGGAATTGTATGAGAAAGAGAAACGCAGCAAGCTGCTTCATTTTGACTATCAGCTGCTATGCTAAAAGTCAACATGTGCTTTGAACCCACGCTCAGCACAAGGAAACTACAACTAGTTTAACTAGTTTTACACCAAAGATAATTCTTATAATCCATTTTACCAACACTCAAATGTTTAGTCTGTGAGATCTAATGTTATTGTCATAGATAAATGCTTAAAATATTAATTCATCAATAAGTTTAGTCAGTCCAAGAAATGCCTATTTAAAGTCTGCGGTAGATATACACACTTTGCTAAGGACACAACATAAGTTAGTTTCTGCTCACAATGTAGTTGGAAGAAACAGGAAGACAAAGAAATAATCATAATACAATGTGATATGTGCAATGATATAAGTGTGCTGAAAATTCAGATGTAGTACAGAGATAGAGAAATCATTGGAGGGGTGTCAGGAATGCACTTCACAGAAGTTCTGATTGAGAGATACATATGATAAACATTAAGAAGAAACAATGAGAAGAACTTGGGCGTTTATTCGATTTGGGGGACGGAATAAGAAGTCTAGAATTACTACCAGGTTTTTAGCTTGGTTGACTGGGGGGACAGTGGACCTACCCATTAGTCTTGGGCATATAGGAGGGGAGAACATATGTAGGAGCTAAGACTATAAGCTTCATTTCAAGCATGCTGTACTTGATGTGCTGATGGAACATTCAGGAGGAAATGGTCGAGCAGAGAAATGGATAGAAAGATGTACAGCCTAAGGGTCGGATGGGGCTATAAAATAGACAGGATAAGAAAGACAAGAGCAGATAAGTTAAAACTATAATGCTATTGCCCGAGAAAGCAAAGAAAACCCAAAAGAACTCTGAAAAACACAGGGAGGGGTAGACAGAGAAAATCCAGTGAAAGAGATAGAAAAGGAATGGCAGAGATGCTGGGGTAGAACCTGGAAAATGTTGTCTCTTGAAAATAGAGAGAAATGATTTTAAAGAAAGAGGGATCAGTAAGTGGAGTCATCCATAGAAAGATCAATGTATACAAAAGATGAAAATTTCCATTTAATTTACAAATTAGTGATCTTTTCACGCTCTATTACATAGAATAGGAAAATCTTGAATTTACAGACATGATTATATTAAAATCTTACATTTGCTTGGCAGAGGTTTGCAAACTGTATTCTGAAGAGTCCTGGAGATCCAGACAGGAGACAAAGATGGAGTACAATGTGCTTGAACAAAGTGCATAGTAGCCAAAGAAGTCTGAGTATCACTACTGTGTGGCAAAAAACATTATATTTATTATGGGATTAAATGAGGCTTTTCTTGTTTCATAATTTGTGCTAAAGCCAAATTGTGAGATCTTCTATGCACGACTTGCTAAGAGGTGACAAAAACAAAACTGGCCCTGCCATGGCAGCCATTGCTACCTCCGGGCTCTGCTCTTACTTTAGAGAAGAGTGAGGGTTCATAGAAATGAAAGTGAGGATTTCTTTGAACAGAGTCATTGGGGTGCTGTGCACTTCCCCTCCCCTCCATGAGGAGCAGCAGTACCTGCGTTCACCTACACCTGCATGGCTTTCCAGGGAACCATTTATAGAGAGTGAAGTGTCTACAGAGAGGGAGACCGAGATCTCACCAGCTAGCTAGATCCTTGCGTATGCTGTTCCTGGTCTGACTACACTGTTTCTGTGGTGCAATGTGGAGACACTATTCTTGGGGTGAACTCATTCTGTATCTTCTATGCTGTGGAGGACACAGGGAATGGTGTCTCGTTCTCTCCTAAAATCTAAAGACAAAAGTGGCAGGAGCTGCCTGTATCAGCAGCGGAGACTGGGATCCAATTGCTCTCCCACTTGTTACATTGAGACTCTCTGGATGCTTTCAAATCACTAAATCTGAGGTTAATGAGGCTAACATAATCCTCCTAGTCAGTAGCAAGACTTGGGAAATGAGAGGTCTGTCTGGGATAGAAGCAGATCTACTCTAGTTGACTCTCAGATCAAGATCAAAGATGAGGGCGTGGTTCTCAAAGCTGACAAGATGGCAGGACATTTCAAGGAAGCATGTGTTGCAAACATAACTTGCTACACTGACTTGCAAAGAACATCCACTCTGCACTGGTTCATACAATTTGAAGTCTGACATCCTATGTACATATAATAATATCTGGTTGGGAAAGTGCTGATAATTCAAAGAAAACCTGCCCAAAACCTAATCTGGTTGTTTGGTCTTTTTATCCTCACTCCCCTAGGTTTGAACAACATTCCGATCTGTACTGTGAATGATGATGAGAACTCATTGTGGGGTGTTGGCCAGTTTGACCACTTGGAGAAGGACGAGATGCCATTTGCCAAACGCAGTTACCCACCTAGCACTGCAGCCCTGGAGAGCCCGGTGGGAGAGGTCTCAGCAGCCCCAAACAGTGTCAGTGTGCCCCCACGGCCTCATTCTGGTGGGTCCCTCTCAGCTGATGAAATCTCTCCTGAGGCCTCCTGCAAACCATCACGGGGAAGAAAATCTGTATGATCGCCGTATAGCTGCAGTGGTTTTTAAACAGTCATGACATCTTCTCGCTGTGAAATAGGTTATGCACTATAAACATTTTTCACTCACTTAATCTCAATTCAGTAGTTCAATAATGTTAATAAATATTATTATTGTTAATTGTGCTCAAGACACATTTGGTGTGGTTCTAGTCTCTAATTCCTACGAAAGTAGCTAAGAGGTAGCAAAAATGAATGTTTAGCCAGCATTGATAGGGAAACTACTTCAGATGAAAAGTGAGTCGGGGAATGCAATAGGGGTGGAAGGTGCACGTTTACCTCGTCCCCACTGGACGGTCAAGTCCCGAAGGTCTGGGCCCCGAGTGACCGCCTTTGGCGTTTTTGCTATTCTCAGTATCTCCCTGGGTCCCTGCACAGTGCCTGGTCTTCAGGAAACAATTCAACTAATTAAGTGATTAATGTTTATTGAATTGAAATGAAAAGGGATTAATCAAAAGCACTGCATGACTATAGTTAACAATACTGTACTACATGTTTGAAAGTTGCTGAGTAGATCTTAAAATTTCTCATCATAAGAAAGAAAAAAAATTTGTAACTATGTGAGGTGATGGATGTTAACTAAACTTATTGTGATAATCATTTCACAATATATACATATATCAAATCATTATGTTGTACCCATTAAACTAAAACAAAACAAAACAAAACAAAAGCACAGTATGGGAAAATCTAAAAGGCAGGGTAAAATAGAAGAAATTCTGGATGGCAGGAATTATATCCAGTTCTCTTTCTCCTGCCCTATTCAATTACATGCTATTCCTAAAGGTTTCAGGAAATTATTTTGGTATAATGTGGTAAAATCTATATCTCTCACAAGATAACCAAAAGAGGATCATTAATGGAGTACTTACCATGGGATTCCATTCTAAGTCTTCACACCTGTGAACTCATTTCAGCCTTTCCAGAGCTCCTCTTCCCACCTTTCCACTAGCATGAAGAATCAAAGCCCACTTATTCCACCTGCTTTCTGGTGTCCCTTCTTACACTGTAAAACTCAGAAACTTGAAAATTACATTTGCAAGAGTCCTCTGAGGGGGTCAGGTGTTGCCACCTGCTAAGATTTATATGGCAGATATGGGGCTGAGGTCATCTTTCTGGTTCTTGTCTGCTATAAAGCATGACTGGAGAAATGGGGTTTTCCTGCTACAACACCCCAGGGCTCAGATTCTGGATTTATAGGTGTCAAAAGGCAAAGTCAGCAGACATGGCGGCTTTCTGATTGCAGCCACAATCCAGTGCCTCATCTGCAGCCTCATGGAGGTTGTGAAGCAGTTGAGGTGGCAGTGGCCTCCTGACTCCCCCTCCTCCCAGCTGTGATGGAGGCTGTGCCCCTTTGGTGGCCCAGCTGTAGGATGTTGTTCTTGAAGGGATTTGTGAAGGTCAAGACCAGAGCTCATAGCTCCAGCCCTTTCAACAGTATTATAAACACCTAATTCCCTGTATTATCTACAATTTTGCTTAAAATAGCTAGAATGGTTTCTGTTTCCTGCAAGTGAACGCTAACTTAATAGATTCACTGCCTACAACTTTGTTCTCACTACTTGGAGAGAGGTAACTTTACACTATTTTTCTATCTTTCTTCAGCTAGAACTAATGAATTCGATTACTATTGGGTATATGCACAAAATCTTTAAAAACTTGTTTTGTTAATTATAGCTTCAGTAAAAAAGATAACCTTATTTACACAGAATATATCTTTAAATTAATGCAAAGCGAAATTAAGCAAATATTTAAGTAGTTTTAGGGTAATTTAAGGATATTTAGTTAGGTGACTATATGAATGGGTAGGGTTGAGAGACTGATGAAATGAGTAAAATAAAGGATATAATTATAACAGCGCGCATCTTCTCTTTCTGTCTGCAGGGCAAACAGCACACATACAAACTCCTTAATTAGAGAAAGTGATGGTTATACTGACAGAAAACAGAGAGAAACATGTCTCATATGAAATATGTACTTTTAAAAATCAGTTTACCCAGATCAAGAAAGCTCTTGCAGTGTTTCTTTACATCATCTTCCGGGGCATAGAATTAGTTTTCTAATATAAATATGGTTTTATTTTGTTATTGTAGTACAGTTCTACCTGCAAGTTTTCTAATCTGTATAAGCAGATCCCAGAGTTGACCTTAACTGAAATTCAGATGTACTCTAAACAACTGATGTATGTGTCATGTGGTAGAAATTCTTTTCAGTTTGATCTAAATACATTTTTCCTCCATATCATTTCAGAGCCCTGTAGAAAAATCAAGGAGTGCTTCAAAACTTCCAGTGAGAATCCCTTAGTTATTAAAAAGGTAAAGAAACAACTATTTACAGCAACCTATTTAGTCTGACTTCCATCATTTCCTCTCCTTTCCTTTGCATACCTTTCTGAAAAGGCACATTTCACAATATTTTTAACAGCTTTATTTAAGTATAATTAACATGATATAAAATGAACATATATAAAGTACAATTTGATGAGTTTTGACAGACATATCCACACCTGGGAAGCCACCTCTGAAATCAAGAGAATGAACATATCCAACACTCCCCAAAGTTTTCTCATGACCTGGCCCTCCCACAGGCACACATTTATCTGTTACTAAAGACTAACATGCAATTTTTAGGATTCTATATAAATGAAATCATATACTGAGTTCTTGTTTTTAATCTTGTTTCTTTAACTCAGCATAATTATTTTAAGATTCATCCATGTTGTTATGTGCATCAGCAGTTCATTCCTGTTTATTGCTGAGTGGTTTTCAATCACATGGGTACCCCACAGTTTGTTTATACATTCACCTGTTGATGGGCATTTAGCTTGTTTCCAATTTTTGACAAAGCTGATTTGAACATTTGTGTACAAGTCTTTGTATGGCTATGTATTTTCTTTTCTCTTGGGTAAATACGTAGGAGTGGAATGATAGTGTCTTATAGTAGATATATGTTTAAAGGTTTAAGAAGCTGCCAAAGTGTTTTCCAAAGTTGTATGATTTTACATTCCTGCCAGCAATGTACTAGAGTTTCCTTTCCTCCACATCCTGCAAAAACTTAGGACGGTCAGTATTCGTAATTTTAGCCAGTCTAGTCGGTGTGTAGTGGTATCTCGTTGTGGTTTTAATTTGCATTTCCCTAACAACTAGTGAGGCTGACATCTTTTCATGCTCTTACTTGGCATCCATATATGTTTTTGTGTGAAGTGTATGTTCAAATCTTTTGCCCACTTTTTAAATTGGGTTGTTGGTCTTTTCGTCATGAAGTTTTAAAAGTTCTTTACATATCCTAGATATAATTCTTTCGTCACATATACATTTTGCAAATATCTTCTTCCAGTCTAAGCTTACTTTTTTTTGTAACAGTGTCTTTTGAAGAACCAAAATTTATAATTTTGATGAAGCCCAAATTTTTAATGTTATAGTTTCAAATCCACATGCTGTTCCTCTCTCTACTGTGTCTTATTGCAATGGCTAACCTCTAGCGCCATGTTGAATAGAAGTGATGAGAGCAGACATCCTTGCCTTGCACCTGATCATAGGGGGAAGAATTCACACTTTCACCATGAAGTATGACGTTAGTCTACTTTATTCAGAAATGCCCTTAATATGGCTAAGGAAGTTCCTTTCCATTCCTAGCACTCTGAGAGTTTATATCAGAAATGGGGGTTGGATTTTGCCAAATGCTTTTTCTGCATCCATTTGAGAATGATCATATGATATTTCTTTTTTAGTCTGTCAATACGGTGAACTGCATTGGTTAACTTCCAAAAGTTAAACTAACCTTGCATTGCTGGGAAATAAAACCCACTTGGTCATTGTGTGTTATCCTTTTTTTATATTAAATTTCATAAAATATTGTTTAGCATTCTTGTGTCTCTGTTCATAAGGAATATTTGTCTGTAGTTTACTTGTAATGTCTTTTCTGGTTTTGGTATCAGCATAATACTGGCTTAATAGAAAAAGTTGGGAATTCCTCTTTAATAATCTCAGAGATTTTATGCAGAATTGGTATTATTCCTTCCTTAATAGAATTCTTCAGTGAAGCCATCTGGGCCTGGAGTTTTCTTTGAGTCAAGGCTTTTAACAACAAATTCAGTTACTTATTTTCATAAATATAGGCCATTCAGGTTATCTATTTCTTCTTTAGTGAGCTTTGGTACTTTGTATTTTTCAAGGAATTTGTGCATTTTATCCAAGTTCTTGAATTTACTGATATAAAGTCATTCACAAAATGTCCTTTTAATGATTACATGCTCTGTAGAGAGGTTCTGTCTGTCATTCCTGATATTGGTAATTTGTGTCTTCCTTTTTTCCTGATGTGTCTAGCTAGAGGTCTAGTAGTTTTATTGATCTTAAAGAATCAGCTTTTCTTTTCAGTGATGATCTCTATTGTTTTCATTTTCTGTTTTTATTTCATCAATTTTGGTTCAAGTCTTTATATAAGATGAAAGCTTAGGTTATTGATTGGAGACATTTTTCCTTTCTAATATAAGCATGTATTAACTTGCTTATATTTAATTTCTTATTTGACCCATGAGTTACTCAAAATTGTTATTCAATTTCCAAATATTTGGGGATTTTTTAAGATATCCTTATGTGATTGATTTCCAACTTCATTCCATTGTAGTTGAAACATACTTTGTATACTTTGAAACGTTTTAAATTTATTGAGACTGGTTATATGGCCCAGAATATTGTTGACTTTGATAAATTTTCCATGTACCCATGAAAAGAATAGTCACTCTGTTGTTGTTGGGTAGAATGTAACAGAAATATCAATAGGTCAAGTTGGTTGATACTGTCATTTAAGTCTTCTATAGTCTTACTGATTTGCTGTCTAGTTTTCTATCAATTATTGAGAGAGAGGTGTTGAAATTTCTGATGAAAACTGTGGATTTCTATATTTCTCTTTTCATTTCTATTAGTTTTTAATCATGTATCTTGAAGCTCTCTTATTAGAAGTATAACTATTTAGGTTTGTTATGTCCTCTTGATGAAATGACCCTTTTACCACTATAAAATTACTATCTTCAACCCTGACAACATTATTTGCTTTGAAATCTATTTCATTATAGAACCGTTCAAGTTTTCTATTTATTCTTGAATTGATTTTTGTAATATATTCTTTTTCTAAAAATTACTTGTTTCATTTAAACATTCAAATTTATTGATAATGTTATACATAATATCCACATATTCTTTTTTAAATGTCTGCAGGATCTGTAAGATGTATCATTTTACATATCAGTTTTATTAATTTGTGTCTGTTTTTCTTGATCAGTCTCAACAGTTTGTCAATTTTATTAGTGTGACAAAGAACTAATTATTGTGAGGTTTTTTTTGATCCTCTATGTTGTATATTTCTTTTCTGTATTGTTAATTTATGTTGTTATCTTTTTCCTCTTTCCATTCACATACTTTATTTTTGGTTCTTTTTCTAACTTCTTTTATCTTTCTAATGTATGTATATTTTAAAGCTATAAATTATCCTCTGAGGATTGCTTTAGTTGCTTTCATAATTTTCACTATGTAACATTTTCATGAGCATTAAGTTAAAATTTTTTCTAATTCACATTTATAATTTCTTCTTTGACTCATGACTTAATTGCTGAAAATTATATATGAAAAATTATTTGTAGGAATCTGAAGCTCATGATAAATGGACTTGGTTCCAGAGAGAACTTGTGCTTGCTTCTCTAGGAACACAGAGGCTCTACCAGCCTAGACCAACTTAAACCAAGTTCACACCCTGATCGCAGGCCATATATTCTTCAAAGACTGTTGCACTTCTAGGTCACTATCACCTTCGCCTTGTGGGGATAGCCCTTTGTTGGCCCTTCTTTGGGTCCTGAGCTTTGATTCCTGTCTTCCAGGACCTTGAAGGCTTTCAAAATGAAGGTTTTCATTCTCTAGGATCAGACAATGACTTCAGGGCAAAAATGGCTACTGCACTGCTACATCTCAGGCTTCCCATTTCCCCTTCATTTTTCACCTATTAATTCCTATCTTATTTACTCCTTGACAGTTTTGATTGTTTTTTTCAATTATAATTTGTCTTTATAGTTGTGTTTGGTGGTAGGGTTGAACAAAAAAAAATATATATTGCTATTCCCCAAAACAAGAAGTCTACATAATAAACTTTAACAGAAGAATGTGCCTATATATAATATCGCTTTATTTTCACTAAACGTCAATAGTTAAATATTATTCTATCAATTCCAATCATCACAGTCTCTGGTTGTTGACACATTCAGCCACTAGCTTCTGTGTCTCTTTATATATCACTCACTTCTGAAGGTTAAAAAGCCTTTCTTGGAATAGGCACACAGATCTAAGGCTTCTATAACTCTTCTTGGACTTAAATCTCCTATAACTTTTTCTAAAAAAATTGTAAACAGTACATTTACCACCCACAACAAAAGATCGCCTTTCTATTTCCTCTTCCAGCTAACCAAGGGAAGCAAATTAGTTTACCTCCTTAGTTCTCCAGCTCTCAGCTGCCATTTAGCAGAGCAAGGAAGCAGCAGTTCACATCATGTAGTCTGTTCACAGAAACAGCATAAAACCTCTTGGCTGTCCTTTTCCAGTCATAAAAGAGAACACTTCCCAACTCAACAGAAATCTCATGTGTCATGAGTGGGTTCTTATTTGGAGCAGCAAGATAAATAAAAGTTACACATTAAACATTGATAAATTATCTTTATGTTTAACCGAGGGTTTAAAATGCTTTCACAAAAAGTAAAAAATATATCACTATTTGTTCTGTTTCCAAATGCAAATATTTGATAATTAGGCTTTAAGGGAGGATTAAAACTAACCTCCTTTTTACTTTCACGTATGTTTCTCATTTAGCTACAATACTTCTCATTCACTTTACATTCAATTTTTATAGAAAATATAAGTGGATGCCAATGCATATTGATTATATTGTACCTTTGATTTAGGAAGAAATTAAGGAAAAAAATCCACCGTCACCTCCAAAGCCATGCTCTACTTCTGGCTCCTGTTCTTCAGAGGTGATAAGTACCAAGACCGACGGCAAAGAGAACACCGTTTGCATACCAAACTACCTGGATCAGGAAATCAAAGTAAGAGGCAGGTTTATTAGATCCATCACTTGGGAACAGCATAAACATACAAAAAAATCACATCACTAGCATCCTTAAAACTCTTTAATGGTTCCCCTTTGACATCTGAATTAATTTAAAACTACTTTGTCTGAAACGCAAGGTCTGCTCCTGTCTTTATTTCCAGTCTTACTTCTCCCTAGAATCCTGTCATTCTTACAGAAACACAATCTTTGGTTTAGACATAATGAAAAGCTTGGTGTTCGCTTAACAAACGCATCCTTCTTCTTCCCATGTCTGTCTTTATCATCTTCCTAATGCTTGAGAGGCTCTGCCTCCATCTTCTTGCCATTACCTGATATTTCCGTCACATACTTTAAGGCAGAGATTCCTCTAATTGACATTCATCTCTCCTCTTACCCGTGAAAAACTGTTTCCTCAAACCTTGTCTGCCTGGGGTTATAAACTTAGTTATAGTAATAGTAGTATGTCATATCAGACTACTGGAAGGTTCTTTCCAGCCACAGTTATTTCTGAGAAGGACATATAATCAAGAATCAATCAATCAGCTGATGTTTGTCATCTGCCATTCTTTGTTTTCCTTCTCTAGATCCTTTTAGTAACCCCCACATTGACTCACTGTAAGACCCACTGCAATGAATTAAGGGTCAAAATATTGTAATGATGACTCTGATGGCGGTTTTAAATAAGTATCTGTAGTAGCTATTAAAAATAACAAAGCATGTTGTAAGGATTATCACTGAATAATCCTGATAAAGAACGATTTTAAAAGTAAAGCATAACAGTGGCGTTGGGTATAATAATTTATGCTGATGATTAAAATTGGGAAGGAGAATAAAAGGAAAAGAGGAGAAGAAGGGAGAGTATCTGCAGACTTGACTTCTGTTTATACACTTTCTGCCAATTCTGGCTAAAGTCTTTATATTATACGGAGTCTTCAGAACTACTGTCCACCTCACCCACCACACTCTGGCACCACTGATTTTTCTGGACTTGGCTCATTCCCACCCTTAGGGGCTTTCTCCTACCAAGAATTCTCTTCTCCTTGATCCTCTCAATGGTTACCTTCTTTTCATTAAGGTCCCAGTTTAAATATCACTTATTCAGAAATACTTTTATGACCACCCAGTCTAAAGTAGCTCTCTATCCAGTCACTCTCCATCTCATTACCCTTCGTTATTTTTTGCATAGCACACGCCACATCTGATATGGTTACCTGTATGTATTTATTTCAGTATTGTCTCTGCCTCCCCACCCCACTCGCACTAAAATTTAAGTCTTATAAGATCTCTTATTTGTCTGTCTTGGTTACTGCTTTATCTCTAGTGCCTAGAGAAGTGCTAGGAATCTAGCAATTATTAAATAAGTATTTATTGAATGTTGAATACATAAATTAAAAAGAAAAATTCTGCTAAGATCAAAGTGGAACTGTAGAAGATCAGCTAACCACACAGGCCTTCAACTCAACCAAAACATGAGCTGAGTGCAGTTTTAGTGAGGCTACCTTGCTTCCTTGGGCACATCAACAGACCAGCATGATCCTACAGAACTGGTCTTGTGGACATCTGCTAAAGAGCCCTCCTCTCAAAAGCATCTTCCACCTTACAGATATTGACTTAACTGGGCACCAATTGATACAAAATCCACTAACGTGTAGACTCTGAAGGAAGGGATCTTGACTGTCTTATCACAACTAATTCCTTTCACTAATTCCTAATTAGTGAATCACTTTGCTTGAAAAATATTAACTGGCACACACAGCATGGCATTTTATCAAATAGTTGTTGGCAATTTGTTAAATAAATGAAAGAAGAGGGAGTAAAGAGAGAAAATAGGTCTTATCAAGATTTTTTGGCTTGTATACATGAGTCCTAAACATAGAGCTCATCTGAAAGATCCCCATTAGAACCCCATGGTGCAGTGGGAAAGGATCAATTCCCCAAGAGAAGAAAAGTGAATTGCTCCTCCAGAAGATTTTGATACTGAACAGACAAAACAAGAGAAAAACTGCATAGCCTAACCTAAACTACTCCTTGTATTGGAGATATTGTTTTGTTAAGATTCCACTGTGTATTATTTGAAATCTGGCTCCCAAGTTAAATCCCAATTAACTTAATTGAGCATCGTGCACAGAGTGACATTTGGGAAGATGAGATTGTGGAGCAAGTAAAGGGAACCTTATAAGCCTGTACCGTTTTGCTCACCATGTAACTCTAATATTCTCTGTCAGATTCTGGCCAAGCTCTGTAACATTTTACGTACTGATTCTCTGGCAGAAGTTCTACAGTGGCTGCTTCATGCAAGTTCAAAAGGTGAGATTAAAATAAGCATTTGCAAACACTGAGCTCAGTTTATTGTCAGCAACTAGGAATGTGCCAATATTTGAAGTTTTCTACCTTGGATTTGCAAAGATAATGTTGCAATATTATGTGCCTAGTGTTTCAGTTTCAGAGTCTTTGCAGTCCTCTAAATCCAACTGCATGAAAGCTGGTCATTCAATGACCCAAAATTTGGTATGCCCCAAACTGAACTTCTTTGGGTGACGCGAAACACTTGTGTCCAGGGCCGGTTTGTGTTTTTCCTCCTAGGTCCACACACCCAGGGCTCTCCCTGAACCCAGAACCAGTTTCCTTCTTGGGTATGGATGGCAGTAGTACAGCCTTCCAAGTTCCAGATTCCAACAGCTCTGCCAATTCCCCACCAAAACCATCAACTTAGTCATCTCCCGGCTCCTTTAGGCCCCTCCTGGCCTGTTCCATGAAAACATATGCCAGTTCCAGTGGGACAACCATAAGTAGCAGAGAGCAGCTATCCTCAAACCTAGCTGGTCATCAGACTACTGTGGCAAAACTTCTGAGGTGGCCGGGGCCTGAGATTTTGCATTTCTAACAGTTCCCAGGTGATGCTGATAATGCTGCTTTGGGTACACTTTGAGACTGCACTAATCAAAGTTGGGAGATACCAGTGTGTTAGGGACAGAGTAATGTTTTAAATGGGGAGCATTTTGGAAACAGTACCTTACCCTAGGAATTCAAGACGACTTGGCAGGCAATTGAGAAATATTTGGGGGTAAGGAGTCTTTAGTTATTCTCTATTTTTCTTTTCCTTTTTTAAAAATGTAACTTAAAAAAAAATTACACAAGTAATAAGTGCTTATTGTTGGGGGAGAAAAAAACAGATGAACCAGAAAAAAAAAAAAAAACAAAAGAAGAACAATAATCAGGAAAATTATCATAGACCTCATTTCAGTGAATACTTTGGTGTAAATCTTTCCAGATATACTTGTAACTATTTAGTATTTAACTATTGGTCTGTATTTTAATGAGATCATATTGTACTTATTATTTCGTACAGGTATCCTTTTTTTAGCCTTCCTAGAACACAGATTACCAGCCTTTCACACCAGAGTGCTGGATAAAAGATCTAATCCTATGTTTCTAACCAACATGATACTTATAACCTTCATTCCCCCCTCTTTTTTTTAAATCAGAAAAAGAGTGGGTCTCAGCTTTGATTCATGCTGAGCTGGCTGAGATAAACTTGTTGACTCACCAGCGAAGAAACACCTCAGCAGAACCAGCAGCAGAGACTGGGAAGCCACCCAAAGTCAAATCACCCCCAAATTCACCTGCAAAATCAGAAGCGCTGACCAGACCTAGGGAAAGACCTCAGCTGGCCAGGTAGGCAGACACAATGGCCACCTAGAGGCCATGTGGTCCATAAAGACTTTCAATTCTCTTCTTCTTACCTTTCAAAACACTAAACATGCTGAGGTTTTAAGTCTCCTCTTTATTCAGTAAATGACAACAGTGTGTATTTGTTTTCTTTCATTTTCGTAAATGTAATATGAGAGTTGTTCTAAATCCTATTGTTTAGAGCATGTTGGCAGGGCTATGTCTTCCTTTCCTTCCGCTAAGGGCAAAGCAAGAGCAGCCATATAGGAATCTAAGAAAATGCAGGGTTTTTTTAGTTTACGTAAAAATGGAAGCAGTAAAAGAAACTAAAATTGTATTGTTATTGTATATTTTGTTAATTGCACATCACACAGGTATCACATTTTGTGTGTAGAACAATGCAAGATTAAAATAAATTGCTTCACTTAATTTTCTCTAACACATTCCTGGGGGCTGCCGGGGGGAACAATAACTATTACGAGGATTGGAAATTATTTCAGTAGAAATTTTTCTTAAACCTTGTAATTTCAATGACAGAAGAAAATACACATTTATGTAGAACATCAGGGTGAAAGAATGTGGTAAGATGTTATTTAAGCTGGGAGAGAAAATCTTGTTGCTTTAAAATTAAATGTTCGATAAAGCTTAAATTCAGAGAAAATAAATATTCAAAACATACAGTATGTAATTTTAGAAAGTATTAAGACAGAGGAGAATTTTGTATTGTAATTTATCTCCCTCTTAAGGTTTCCACACAATTGGAGACTGGGAGATAGTCAGGGTCAGTCTGTCTATCTTGAGTAATATATGAGGTACTGTTTATATATTTACTCAAAGTCAGAAGAATTGTCATTGGAAAGTACATTTAATACTGTCTGCATTGAAAAACAAAGAAATTTTTTTGTATAGAAAATACTTGTTTGTGTCTGTGAATTTCATTTTCTCTTTCTCCAACTGATTTAGAGTGTCAAGTCAAGGATCTGAAGGAAATAAGGAAGTGCCAAAAGGTTAAGTACGGTTTGTGATAATTACTGAGTTGGTATAAGGAAACCAGTAAGCATCTAACCAGTTAGGGACACAGATATTAAGGATCTACGGCTTTGAAGGCAGTATATACAATAGTGATTTCCAGCCACTCTTAAGGCGCAGCATCTGCTGAATTGCTCATAGAGATAAATTTGACATAAAGTTAACTTTGTTTTGAAAGGCAAAGTGCCTCATCAGGGACAGACACTCCTTGAGAAGCAAGACAGCAGGACAGCAGGAACTCTAGGTTTGGTCACGCCAATCCAGCAACAGGAGAAGCCCTGCATTGACCTCACAAAAGGACAATGATCTCAGAGTTTTGCTTCTGCACAGCTTAACGGTCATTGAGCTAAATGATTTTCACTAGCAACAAAGTCAACCAGAGAAAACAGTAAAATGGCAATTGGCTGCAAGCAGATGCCCCACGGGACAGCTGAAATATAATAGAGAGTAGCAGTTTTGTGTCCGCACCAAAAGTCCAGCCCCAGCCTACAACTTGGACCAAGAAAAACCAAGAATTGTGGAAAGTCCTACTTTGGTGCAGAATAGCCCAAGTGAAATGTCCCTGTGGGTTTGGCAGCTCCTAGCTTTAAAATAGGCACAGCAACAATGACACTAGAGACACAACCATGAAGTTCGTCTACAAAAACAGAAGCCTGTCTTGTTATTTCTACAAGTTCCCCTTCTACCAGGAACGATATGGTAATCAGTTAGAGCTCCTTGAGGTCACTCTAGACCCCAGCAAGTTCCGTGGGGGTTAACCAGACTCAAAAGAGGTTCTATTTGCTAACAGGCAATAATAAATGTAGTTTAGAAATTAGAAAATACGTCTTACTCTGACGCTCCAAGGATGCTCTATTGTACCTGACTTCTCCTAACAAACTCTTCACCCTAGGACTATAACACATGGCACTGATGGTTCCTATTACTCATTTATGTCTTACCTATAGGCCCCAAATATATTTTACCCTGTCTAGATATTTGGAAAGTTTTGTATAAGAATCCCCAAATCGTACCCCTTTGTCTCCAGTGTTGATATTCAGCATCTCTACAAATCCTTATTTCTCCTTGGGTGTAACCATGTAGGCCTTGAGAAAGTCTTATGAGTACAACTGTTTTAACCTGCTTGTCTATTTTCTTTTTTGTCTATCAGGACCGTAGACCCTTCTCCTTTCTCTCACTGGTCCCATGCTTGCCCATCACCTTTAGCAGCTCTAAATCATTCCTACCAAAATAATGTTTGATTCTAAGAGGGAAAAAATATATCCTTCATTTTATGGAACAAATAACTCATTAAAGATGAGCAGGTGCTAAGAAAGAAACATGAGAATAGATTCCTTTATGAATTTTGGGTATATTTGATTCACCTAAACTTCATATAGTGTTTGTATGTTGTTTGCTACCAAAACATGGCAGAAGCTATATTTGATGTCTCAACTATGGTCTTATTTAGATTTTTTTCTATTTCAGAGGCTGGGCACAAGCCTCCATTGTTTATAAGAAGAAATAAGATGAAAATACCTGTTGCAGAATATTTCAGCAAACCAAAGTCTCCTCCCAGGCCTAAAACTCAGGAGAGCATACCAACAAAGCCAGTTTCAGCAAGGAGTATACAACAAGGATACAGTCTCTCTCCCCAGAGAGCATTTTATCCTGTAACATACCAAAGGTAGAGATTCTGGACTGGGCTAAGTCTTTCACGAACATGCTTCACTTTGTTACAAAATCAAATTATTTAAAAAAAAATAATTTGGTATGGAGGAATCAATAGCTCCTCCATATAGTGGCACAGGTAAATCTCAAAGCACCTGTATATAATACTACTAAATAAATGCCAATGGAGACAATATTTCTATTTGCAGTTAATTTTAATGCCATGTGTAAAAAGAAATGTTGATTTACATACTACATTTCCAGTCTTGCACTATTAGTATTAGTACATAAGCATAGGGCCCTGATACTAGAAAAATCATCCGTAATCAGAATTAGGCAGTTTTAATTTGACACCTACCCCAAACTCTGATAGAGAAAAACAAAACAAAACCCAGAATTTTAACATCTGAGCTACTTTCTGCAACCCACAGTGTTTCAGTGTTGTTGAACTATTGGAAAAACACTCACCTCCCTCCAAAAAAAAAAAAGATAATAAAAATTATCCCTAACTTATGAGCCAGAAAGGAGCTAGTTTCCACTCATGGCAAATTGTGAATGATATTAACGAATTTCCTAATATTGAAAGTTTTGTATTTTTAAAAGAAATCACTCTTGGGCCATGACTATTATTCTTTCAGTGTATTACTCGATTCTATCTACTAATTAGCCAATCTTTTATTTAGAATGTTTGTATTGATATTCAAAAAAGATACTATAAATTGTGTATGTGTGTGTATGCGTGTATGCACACGATCTTAATGATAACATTTATATTGTACTTCCTGTGTGTCAGGAATCACTCTAAACACTTTATTTTTTTTATTTATTTATTTTTTTGTGAGGAAGACCAGCCCTGAGCTAACATCCGATGCCAATCCTCCTCTTTTTAGCTAAGGAAGACTGGCCCTGGGCTAACATCCATGCCCATCTTCCTCTACTTTATATGGGATGCCGTCACAGCATGGCTTAACAAGCAGTGCGTTGGTGCACGCCCGGGATCTGAACCAGCAAACCCCAGGCCGTCACAGCAGAGCGTGTGCACTTAACTGCTGCGCCACCGGGCTGGCCCCTAAACACTTTAGATACAGTAACATTTAATTTTCACAATAACTATTTGAGGTAGCCACTACTGTTGTTCTCATTCTTTTTTAAATAAAAAAATCGGAGATACAGAGAGTTGTACTCACTGGAACGGGATCAACAGTTGTAATAAATGTCATCATGCAAATACAATAGAGGTTTATTTCTCACACAAACATCCAAGCGTGTGTTTTCAGTCAGCAGATGATTTCACATTATTTGGTGATTCAGAGGCCCAGGATCCTTCTATCTTGTGGCTCAACCACCACCTACGGTTTCACTGTTAACTGCATCCTGCTGGCAAAAGAGGAAAAAGAGAGTGGAAGAAAGTATTAATTTCCTAAAGCTGCTGTAATAAATTACCACAAACTTAGTGGTTTAAACCAACACAAATTTAATCTCTTACAATTCTAGGGGCAGAGTTCCGAAAATGGATGGGCTAAAATCAAGGTGTTGGCAAGCCTGCATTCCTTTTGGAGGCTTTAGGAGAGAATATGTTTCCTTGCCTTTTCCAACTTCTAGAAGTTACCCACACGTCTTGGCTCATGACTCCCTTCTATCTTTAAAGCCTGCATTGGCCAATGAGTCTTTCTCACCACACATCACTCTGATACTGACTCTCCTGCCCCCCTCTTCCACTGTAAAGAATGTTGTGATTACACTGGGTCTGCCTGTTACCCAGGTTATCCAACATAAACTTATTTTAAGGTCAGATGATTAACAATTTAATTCTCCCCCTTACTGTGTAACATCACAGGTTGCAGGGATTAGGATCTTTGTGGGGGCATTATTCTGCCTTACACAAGGAGGGTACATCTGCTTAAATAAGTCTTAGCCTTGAAATGGGAAACATCACTTCTGGTCACGTTCCATGGTTGAGAACTAGCCTAGCTGAAAGGGGGCTTATAAAATTCTTAAGTAGGAATCATATCCCAGCTACAACTATATTCTATGGAAAAGAAAAGTGGATTTTGATGGACAGTTAACTCTGACACAAAGGTTTAGTGACTGGCTCAAAGTGTGGCTGGAATCTATATGCTTAATGACTAGACATTACTGATATTATCAAGACCATGCTCCACTTCATAAAATTAATGTCAAAGCTTTCTCTCTCTTTTTCCTGTTAAGGAGAGGTTGCAACAGCATTGCAGATTCCTTCTCCTTGGAAACTTAGTAAAATTCACCTATCAGATCATGTAGGTTTGGTGTTTTGAGGGTGTTAGCCCTTTGACAACTTTATTCTTCTATGATAATGGGTGTGTTTACATTTTCTGTATTTTGGAGGATCAATTTAAGAGATTTTTATTTTCTTAGAAAATTAATCATTTTATCCAGGTTTCCAAATTTATTTTCAGAGTTGAGACAAATATGTCTCATAATTCTTCTAAATTCCTCACTATGTTTATTCTGCAATCTCATTTTTATGTATTTGTAATTTTTTTGATTCAGTTAGCTAATGGCTTTTTACATTTTACTATGACTTCCAAAAAACCAGATCTTGAGCTGCCCTAATGACCTAGTGGGTAAAGTTCAGCACTCTCACCACTTCGGTGGCCCGGGTTCATTTCCCGGTTGCTGAACCACACCACCCATCTGTCAGTTGCCATGCTGTGGCAGTGGCTCACACAGAAGAACTAGACTATATGACCATGCACTGCGGTTTTGGGGAGGAAAAAAAAGAAGAAGATTGGCAACAGATGTTAGCTCAGGGCGAATCCTCCCCTGCAAAAAAAAAAAAAAAAAAGGAAAGAAACAAACTCAAAAGGAAGATAAACTATTCCTGTTTAACCTCTTAAAAATAAAAAAGATCTTGGATTTAGTGCTATGTTCTACAATATTCCTACTTCTTGTTTTATAAGTGAATATTAATATTAATAAATTATTATTTATTAATAATTTTTATTATTTATTTCTTTATTTCTCTTTAGTTTCTTTAGGTTCATTACGGTTCTAATGTCTCTAGTTGAATGTTTTTTAATATAGTTATATTCAGTCATTCTCATTTATTAGCATAAGTTTTTGAGGTGGGATTTATACCAGGAATGCAATGATGGTTCAATATACGCAAATCAATCAATGCAATACCCCACATTAATAAAATGAAGAACAAAAATCACACCATCATCTCAATTAATGCAGAAAAAGCACTTGACAAAATTCAACACTCTTTTGTGATAAAAACATTCAACAAACAAGGAAAAGAAGGAAACTATCTCAACATAATAAAAACCATATATGAAAAGCCCCACAGCTAACATACTCAATGGGGGAAAGACTGAAAGCTTTTCCTCTAAGATCAGGAACAAGGCAAGGATGCCCACTCTCACCACTTCTATTCAATATAGTACTGGAAGTTTGAGCCAAAGCCCAACAGAAAAAGAAATAAAAGGCAAGCAAATTGGAAAAGAAAGGGAAGAAGATAATTAAAATGATCTCTGTTTGCAAATGACAGGATCTTATACATAGAAAACTCTAAAGATTCCAGAAAAAAGCCAGTTAGAACTAATAAACAAATTCAGCAAAGTTGATGATTCAAAATCAACACTCAAAAATCAGTTGCATTCCTATACACTAACAATGACAAATTCAAAAAGGAAATTAAGATAAAAATCCCATTTTCTATAGCATTGAAAAAGATAGAATATTTAGGAATAAACTTAACTAAGGAAGTGAGAACTTGTACACTGACAACTACAAAACATTGCTAAGAGAAATCAAAGAAGAAACAAATAAATGGAAAAACATCCCACACTCACACATTGAAAGACAATATTGTTAAAATGTCCATACTACCCAAAGATATCTACAGATTCAATGCAATTCCTATGAAAATCCCAATGACACTCCTTGCAGAAATATTTAAAAAAATTCTAAAATTTGTATGGAATCTCAAGTGACCCTGAATAACCAAAAAAATCTTGAAAATATAGAACAAAGTTGGAAGCCTCACACTCCCTGATTTCAAAACATACTACAAAGCAACAGTAATTAAGATAGCGTGGTACTGGCATAAAGATAGACATATGGATCAATGCAGCAGAATAGAGAGCCCAGAAATAAACCCTTGCAGATATGGGCAAATGATCTTCAACACAGGTACCAAGACTACACAATGGGGAAAGGACAGTCTCTTCAACAATTGGTGTTGGGAAAACTGGACAGCCACACACTGAAGAATGAAGTTACCTTATACCCTATACAAAATTAATTCAAACTTGATTAAAGACCTGAATATAAGACCTAAAACTACTAAACTCCTAGAAGAAAACGTAGGGAAAAAACTTTAGGACATCAGATTGGGCAATGATTTCTTGGATATGACACCAAAAACACAAGCAACAAAATAAAAGATAAATGGGACTCCACCAAACTTTAAAACTTCGTGTCAAATGAAACAGTCAGCATAGTGAAAAGGCAACCTATGGAATGGGAGAAAATATTTGCAAATCAACGTTTGACAAGGGGTTAATACCTAGAACATATAGGGAACTTCTACAACTCAATGACATAAAAACAACCCAACTTAAAAATGGGCAAAGAACTTGAATAGACATTTCTCCAAAGAAGGTATACAAATGGCCAATAAGCACATGAAAAGACGCTCAGTGTAACTATCGTTAGGGAAATGCAATCAAAACCACAATGGGATATCACCTCACGCCCATCAGGATGGCCACTATCAAAAGAACAGAAATTAAGTGTTAGCAAGGATGTGGAGAAGTTGGAATCCTTGTGTATTGTTGGTGGGAATGTAAAATGGTACAGCCATTATGAAAAACAGTATAGAGTTTCCTCAAAAAATTAAAAATAGAATTACCATAGAATCCAGAATCCTACTTTTGGGTATATATCCAAAAGAATTGAAAGCAGGATCTCAAAGAGATGTTTGCACACCCATGTTCATCACAACACTATTCAAAATAGCCAAGAGGTGGAAGCAATCCAAATGTCCATTGACAGATGAATGGATAAAGAAAATGTGGTATATACATAAAATGGAATATTATGCAGCCTTAAGAAAGAAGGAAATCCTGTCACATGCTATAACATGGATGAACCTTGAGAACATTATGCTAAGTGAAGTAAGTCAAGCACAAAAGGACAAATACTTATGATTCCACCATATGAAGCATCTAAAATAGTCAAAAGCATAGAAACAGAAAGTAGAAAGGTGATTGCCAAGGACTTGGAGGAGGGGGAATTAGTGTTTAATGTGTATAGAGTTTCAGGGTTGCATGATGAATAAGTTCTAGGGATCTGTTGCACAACAATGTGAATATACTTAACACTACTGAACTGTATACTTAAAAATAGTGAAGGTGGTAAATTTAATTTTTTTTTTACTATAATATTAAAAAAAGCATAAATGGGAAAATACATGACTTGAACAGCACAGTTAACAAGCTTCATAAAATGAGTGTTCCCTCATTTTTACTTCTCCACAAAAAGTCCGTGTAAGATGGATTTTTTTGCTTATGGTATGTCTCACAGATATGCCTATGGAACATTTGGTCCTAGATTTTAAAATAC